GCAATGCAATATAAAAAAAAATGAAGGAGATAACTGCCATTTTGTCGTTAATATTATTGATGATGGTTGGGTGACTGTTTACATACAGTGGATCGAAATTAACGTAATATTACCGCCAGTGTTATTGGTAGAAGATAAATGTACTAGTGGCTTACTGACAATTGGCACCACGTTGTCGGACTATCCGGGTGACATAAATCACACAAAGGAGCACATATGCAACTAGAATCATTTGTATGTCAGTTTTCATTTGACCTGGGATAATTTGTCATCAATGTTCTCATTCTCAACGCATGCTGTGTCGAGGCAAGCCTTGATTGCGAGTTCAAATCTCGAGTTCTATGTTGTGTGTTTGTTGGCACGTACAATTCTCAGTTTCCTACATCTGCAGCGGTGGTTTGGCAGTATTTATGCATTTAGAACGCAACATAAAAGAATATAAACTCACAAAGTCACAAAGAAAAACATTTTTTTTGTATTTAGGCTGACTGTCAGAGTACCGAGTAATTGCAAATATTTTAAATGCGTATAACTTGACAGTGTGTATTTGGTGATTCTGTGATTTTCATTTGTATTAATCTTGAGTTTTTGTATCAGAGACCGGAATTGTGCGTCAGGTTTCAAAGCGCTGGCTAATTTATCTTATATTGTCAATATGCATATATTAGAAATTAATTCTTTTTTAAGATTCATTTCATTCGAAATGCCGTGAGACATTTTACGAGTAGGTTGATAATCGTATCCGTGTACATGAAATAAGAACTGTTATCATACTATATGAACAAGCATGGTACTATATATATGTATTCAATACACAGCAATTAGTTACGATGATGTTTACCATGCTATTTGAAACATCATAAGTTTTAAAGAAGTTTTGCATTAATATTAGACATTGTTTGATTATATTTGTACACGATTACTAATATTACTATTACTACTAAAACAAGCTCTGAATGTATTTCGGATGACAATATTGTATATTAATCCTAGAAAAAATGTACTATCATAAGACCATCAACATACCCAAGAATCGAAGACATTGGATATACGCGTGCCGATAATGAGTGAATAAGTTAAGCTACTGAAAACACCATCAGCTGGCACACCATATCGTTAATCGCATTTGTTCCAAACGTACCGCGTAACAATAACTTTCATTTTAATTGCTTTTAAATCTTTTTCTAGTTTGATTATTTTAATCTTGTTTTTGTTACAACTGACAGCTGGATGTCTATAAAACTCCAGAACAATAGTCTTTGTGTCTTGTAATCACTTATCACTGAAAGTAAAATACGTTTTATTCTATTTGCCATGGTTTTAGCAACCACTCATAGACTAACCAATATGATTTTTTGTTGCGTTTTTGAGTTGCGTGAAAGAAGCGCGCCGAACGTCTGCCACAGAACGATTTGATTTTGAACTCTTTCTTTATTTAGCTCACATCGGAAGGCCGATCTTTGACAGGGGAATATTGCGTCTGAACACCCTTACTTCAACGAAATTGACCATCATCAAATGTGTACAGCACATTATTAATTAAGCATGGAAATATATCCCCAAACTAATTTCGCGTTGTTGAACCCGACGCAATGTTTGTCGCCACTATAACGCTATGACCTTTGTTGTCCTGTTCGATTTCACGCATAACGCGGCATATTTAACAATCAATTAACAGCACTTCAATGTGTAAATAATTTAACATGTTGTAAGTCATAATGATGGACTTATCGTGCTGGAAAATTGTATATATCTCACTACGCACGCCTGGTTGGTTTGTACCTTTTAAATACTTATTCAAAGTACCTATTTCGTGCTGTTATATAATTCGGGTACAATGACTTCTAGATAAGACTTATTTGTGTTTATGCATTATTATCGTGATATGAAAAGGAATTGTATGATTTGTTTGTGTTCAAAGTTCTTTTTTCTCATATTTAATTTCTTACGCTGAATAAAACGTCTACATTTTGATCGAAAACATTAATCTTAATTTGACGTGACAACTGCCTCTCTAATAGTAAGACACATTTTTATGTGTGCTTTATATCAAATAATGATTTTCATATAAATGTTGGTTTCATATACTTTTTACAGTCTCTGAGCGAGGGGAATTAAACATGTACAATCGTGACCAACACAATTATACTGACAATGAACGATTGATAAAAAGATCTATTTGCCTTATTACACTGACAGAATTAAACATTTGCTAAATGGACGTCAATTAATATTGTCTAGCTGTACAGTACTTATATAAAATACAGGTTTATCTAGTAGCTGTGTAACCGTCGTACAGATGAATAGAGATACATTCTGTGAAAGTTTAGCGGCAACTTAAGCACGTAGTACCTCAGCAATTGTATAACGGCGCATGCGTATGTCCGCACTGTTTATATGAATCCAATCATAGATTGCCTAACCGTCCACACACACGCTATTCGGTTTTGCAGTCTACTATATTTTAAAAGAAGTAACGTTTGTCACGCTGTGCTTAGACTTTTTCAGTCTCGATCAATCTGCTAATAATTTTGATCATGGATCGGAAGGACGGGGAGATTGATTTTTATGCGACAAAATTCACTTAAAGCGTTGTATAGACTTGGTGAATGTATTGAGCTCATTACGTTTACACAAGTAAGAATTCATTTAAATTGTAATTATTTCCAAAAAAAAAATCACGATCTGAACAAAGTAATATATATTCTAATTGGTAAAGGTTATTGACTCCGGAGGCGGCATATCCGCCGTGACGCAGTCTGTCTGGAAACTTAAACGGCTAATTGCGCACTCTGATTCCTAACTCACTAATTATGTATCTGCGTTACCGTGCTTATCGTCAATGGATTGACCTTTGCACTCTGAATATTACTCAAGATCTGTCATAATAAACTATCCCGGTACCAATCCCTAACTATGAAGCAAAATTGTCTTTCAAAGAGTACATCGATCCACATTTTACGATGATTTTATAACATATAGCTTAATAACGAACCGAATGAACGCTTTTGCTGCCGCACTATCGCAACTCTGTGCGCTATGTACACGACGTACTTGACAATATGACGTCATATTCAATAGTTTGCATTACGTTTTGTGGGCAATTCTGTGATTGGGAAAATTTGTGCAAAACAAGTATATATACTTAAGTAATATATGCTTTGTTTTGTAGAACAATAGTGTGCTTTTTTTCTTTAAATAAAACACCCCTGCCTGAGATATCAACAACTTGCTATGATGTAACCTGCTTGATAGTGTGAATAGATTTCATCATCCGGGATAAGTTGTCACGGTCCGGAATGGTATGATCTTTTTACTCTTTGTGAGGCGAAAATAG